GTTCTGTGGAACTCCTAACAATGGGAGCAGGGGTTGTCCCTAATGCTCTGGCTGGCTTTTGGGAACCTATTCCTAATACTGGATTGCCTTGCCCAACCTTCCCTAATATAAGGGAGGTGCTTAGTCTTACCACAACTTGATATGCCAAAGCTCTGTTGATAACCATGGGAGGCCTGTTCCTTTCTGAACAGAAACAGAGAAGGAATGGATGGAGGGTTGGGGCAGAGGGGAGCTGGGGGAGGGAATGGAAGGAGAGGTGGGAGGCGAAACTGTGGTCAGGATGTAAAATAAATAAATTTAATTTAATTAAAAAAGAATCTGTCCACAAAGAAGGAAGGAGGAAGGAAGGAAGGGAGGAAGGGAGAGAGGAAGGAAGGAAGGAAGGAAGGAAGGAAGGAAGGAAGGAAGGAAGGAAGGAAGGAAGATGAAGTCAAATTCTCTTACTCAAAGTGAGGAACAGGACTCCTAAGTTTTAGGAATGAAAACCCAATGTAAGCCCCTCTAGGTGCATTTGCTTGCTTGCTATGACATACCCTTTGCAGAAGTTTAACTACTTGCTTTGCCAAAATACTTTGGATTGCATGGTCATTCTCTTGAGATCCCAGATTCATTTCCTACAATGTAAGGGTGAATTGTATAAGTTTAGCTCATCTGCTATAGCCATCCCTCTTTTAAAACAGTGTTCTTCCTTTTCTTATAATAAAGTAGAACAAATGCAACATGTTACACATTTAGGTATCAAAATCACCCACATATCCAAGTCAGCACTCCTAAATCAATGGTGACACCAAAGAGCCATTCTAGAAGTGGACCCAAGCTCTCCCTGGGACTCAGTCCTCTTAACTGAGGCCCAGTAGTGACAAGACAATGGAAAGATCTTCAAATAAGCATCAATAGAAAGAAAAGCTAAAGGGACAACCTAATGTCAATTCTAAAGGTGAGAGCCATGTCCTGCTCACTCAACATTGGCTAAATTAATTCATCATAACCCTTTATGAAAGTAATGTTTACAGATAGCAAGAGAGGAAAAACCAGTCTGTGCAAAAGATATATAAACAATTTTGTATACATTATGAAGTTTGTTGTATTTATTCTTTCTCTGCAACACTAAATTCACATTTTTTTGGTTTTTTGATGGTTCATACAGTACTAAACTCAAATTCACTTTATATAATGTCTGCAATAGTAACATCCAAAAACAGTATATAATTCCAATGGCTTCAATTTGACTTGGAATTATTAAGTCAGGAAAGTCGATGATAACTTCTTTGCCAGAAACCATAAGGCTGAAATATGATTTCTTGTATTCTATTTACTTATCATTTCCAGTAAAAATAGTTTATCAAAACATGCAGCCATCACTCACAGAGGAGTGCTATGGGCCTATTATGTGTGTCCTCCAATGTCAAATCTGTAATCTCTGGGAGTAACTAGATTTGGGTAGGGTCATGAGGATGGAGTCACCATGATGAGACAAGTGCCTACCTGAGGAAAAAAAAAAGACTGGGATATCAGGCATCTGATCTTGTACATCTCTTCCTCCATCACCGAAGAAAACAGTCCACTATTTGAGCCACCAACAGCTTATTACAGCAGCCTTCACTATGTAAAGTAAAAAGTCTTTAAACCCATTGAGGAAAGTTAGTGTGGATTCAAAATGTCCCTTCTCTCCTTCCTCCCCTTAAGCTGAATCTTTCTTGTCTACTGTAAAAGAGGCTGGCAGGGAAACAGACAGGAGTTTCCCACTGGTTGAAACTACTCCCCTGTTGTAAAAGTTGATGTCTCCTATTCTACAGTTTCTTTTTTATGATTTGGGTTTAATATAAATCCTGTCACCATGTAAATAATAGCAACGTCTGTTGAGCTTGAGATTCCAGAGTGTGAGGCCAGTGTTGCTAAACATTTCCCTAGCTCTTTCTCGCTCCCAGAGGCCCACATCTCATAAACAAATGACAGGATTGTTCCACGTGCAGCCTTGGAAGCTAGAGAGAGATTTGGAGATGTCCCCAGATAGCAGAGAGGTTTCCCCTCCTTCTTTGTTCCTTCTTTTCTCTTCAACCTCAATCCTTCCATCTACCCATCCTCTAGAGGAGGCAGAAAGCTCTTATGGAAATCCCATAAAACCTTTGGGTCCCCCAATTTTGGGGTTTGCCTATGTTGCACTCCATTGAGCATAAACTGCTGGCACCTTCCCTATCCTCTGGGGGAAGTAGGGCATGGGGAGGTGGCAGGGTGTCTGGCTGATTGCCCCTGACTCCTGTAGGCTTCTTCTGTCAGGATTGTATATAGGAGACTGTGACAGACATTCTTGCTGGTGATTAGAGTGAAATCCCAGATTCTTTGAAGCTTCATACTGAACCCTTAGTTGTCTAAAAATATGACTAGAGAACCCTTGCACATTCTCCCACCAAAGCATCTCTGACAAACACCCTTTTGTGTCAGCCCTGAAATTCGATATGGTCTCAATTTTAAATCCAGATCTTAAACTATGAAAAAAAATAGATTGTAACAGAAATTGTTAGGAATTTCTTCAAGGTTTTAAAAATGGAAACTGGTCATTATGCTTTAGCTTAGCTTTGAGGATTTCTTGAAAAATCAAGGTTAATGACTGACAAAGTCTCTTTGAATTTACCTTAGTATAAATTACCTTCCTGTTGATTAAAATGCATTCTTACCTACTTGCTCTTGTTTGCAAGAAAAGTGAATACTTTAAATTTGAAATCAGCAAGTATATATCCCAGTCTGTTCTGAGGAGAGAAAAGCAGAAACAAACAAAAAACAAGTATGCTAATTCAGGCAGCACTTTTCTGTTATCCCTAATATATTTTTGCATTTCATGTGGTATATGTTGCTCACAGTGTGCTTCCCAGGGAGTGGGCTGGTCTGTCTTGACCACTGTGAAGGGTAGCACCTCAGAGCTTTGGGGGACTAAACTAATGTGACAGTTCCTACTAGACAATTGAGCCTTAGAGTGAACACCCAGCCCATATGCAGTAAAAGGATAAAGGGAATTTTCTGGGATGAGGACTTCTTCCAAATAAAAAGGGAAAGGCCTTCTGAGGAGACAGAAATGGCTATTGGCTTTCCGATTTTTTTTTTTCTGGAAGGGGACATGAGCTTTGCTTTATCAAGGCCATTTGGAGACAAAAATTAGGGTGCACAAGGAGAAGAGCAAAAGTTGCTTGTCTCCAGAGAGTACAAACAGTGGCTGAATCCCCCACTGCACTTAGCTGCTCACATATTCTGAACAAATGAGCTTTCATTGAGTAAGGCCACTGTGACTGTTTATTTTCATTGTCAGACTTTTGAATCAGGTAAGAAACAAAACCTTGAGCCTGTCTTTGGGGATCCTAGAGCTGTTCAACTAAGGAGAGAGAACCCTGAATGTGGGAGTCCCAGGCTGAAGGAGAAGGGAAGAGGAAGAAAAGAGGAGGTGAAAAGGAAGGGGTTGAGGGAGAGGAGTTTGGGGGATGTGGACATTATTACCCCAAGGTTCACTTGTGAATTCAGCAAGATCATCATGATCAAAGGCTCTGGGTCTGATAATGATAGAGATGTCAGAGACCTGAGCCATGACCTCCAATGCTCATCTCAGTAAGAAAGAACTACAGCACAGGAGAGAGAATGAAGCAACCAGCCAGTGATCCTGCCCTCTGAGCTGTAATAAGTCAAGTGTGACCTGGGATGTGTGGGCTTCAAAGCCAGAGAGGATGTGGGACAAGGTTCCCCAAAACAATGCAAGACTGTGTTAAGCTTGGATGTGGTCCCACAATTTCATATTTGGAAACCCAAATATCTGAATTCATATATTGCTTCTGTTTGGAGGTGAAGGATTCTGGGAAGAAAGTCATGAGAATGCTTCTCTCAAGATGGATACATCGTAGGTATAAGAGAGAGACCAGCACTCTCCTCTGCTCTCCTATGGGAGACCTTGGCAGTGTGAGGCTGTGGGGGAGAGCTCTTCTTAGACATTGGGACTTGGATGGTAGACTTCCCAACATCCAGACTTAATATAAGACTGGTTATCTATAAACTGCTCCATCCTTGGTATTCTTTCACAATTAAAAAAATGTAGGAATTTCAAGTCCAACAATAAACACTGAAATCCTGTTTAAATTAAGGAAGTCACAGAGAGGCACCACAATCATCAAAATCCACATGGAAGTGGCAAGCTTTATAAATACCTGCCTAGCACACACTTGAGTAGTGTTTTCCAGACTTCGTGTCAGAAACAACTCCACCCATCCTTTACATAAGACATGTGTCATGCTAGTTCTCTGGAAAAGATACTGCAGTCTTTCCTTAGCATGCCTGATGAGATGCTGTTATTTTTGATGAAACCTTAAGGTAATTTAACCAGGAATGTAGCTAAGTGGTAGGGCACTCACCCACTGTGTGCACAGCCCCAGGTTCAGTTCCCCTGCACTAAAAAACAAAGTAGTAATGTCTCCATTTCATAGCATACTATTGATAACACTAAAACTTTGAAATTGGGGCCCAGCATAGTGGCAACTTAATTGCATCTTCTCTCTGAACTGAGTAGCTGCAGGCATTGATGCATTTTCCTACACAGTGACCAATCTTAAACACCCAGAGAACTGATGATGTTCCTTAAGAAGCTTGTCATCTCAGGCCTCATTATTGTAATGAATATGAGCTTAACGTCTCATCCTAGGTGTTAATATCTCCCATTCACATGTCACAGAACATAAATCTTTTTCCTGGTGCTTCAATATGTCATCCCTGTTGATAAGTTGGGTTATAAAACAATTCAAGATTCTATTCATACTTTTATTTGCAATTTATCTCATTCCCTTCATGAAGGATTAACTTTGGTATAATATATTCCAAAAATATTTTCATAAAACTAACTCTGTGTGGTCAGAATAACTTATTTGATTCAATTAATCATCTTTTAAAAACTTATTTCAATTTTTAGTTTCTTAATCTGAATTTTCTTTCAGATTTTTGTAAAATAAGAAAATAAGTTGAATGTGGCAATCACATGTTTTATTTGCTACTGTAATAGAATACTGTGCGATTCATACACATCACAAATGTATGGATTTCTCACCATTTCAAAGACATGGCTTTTAAATCAGTGTGTCAGGGAGTTCAATGTCTGATGAAGCCCTTTCTCTGCCCAGGGGGCACTATAAGGACATATGTGGTGTGTGGGGCCAGTGCTGTGCCGCAAGTGGACATATGCTGTGTGCACCATGTGTACATGTACTATGTTGAGGCATGTGGACATATACTGTGTGAGGACAGTGCTGGGTCCCATAAAGACATAAACTGTGTTGGGTATGTTCTGTGAAGAGGAGGGTGAGAATCCACTTGCTCACCCATCTTACAAAGACAGATTCTGTCCATGGGTCCTGCTCTGATGGTATGGTCCCTTCCTGGAGGCTGTGCCTCTGAGTATGTTCACATTAGATTCATATATGAATCAGAAGATATAGCCACACTATGGTAATATATAGTGAGAAACCTACAAATAATAACCAAACGTACTAAAGCATCTCAAATTGACTTTACAATTCTAACAAAAATGTACATTCCTAACCCAGTAGTTGCTCAGATTCCTCTTATTGTTCATTTGTTTTATGGATTTTTGTTTTGGTTTGCTGTTGTTTGTTTGTTTGTTTGTTTTGAGACAGGCTTTCTTTGTGTAGCTCTGGTTGTCCTCCATAGACCATACTGGCCTTGGACTCAGAGACCCACCTACCTCTGCCTCCCACGTGTTGGGATTAAAAGCATGCACCACCACCTCTCAGATTCCATGAAAGCCTGAGGATGCTCCAAAACTCCACCAGTGTCTGGAGAAGAGTGTCTGAGGAGTCCCTGGGGGCAACTTCAGCTGAATCACATGTGGTTACCTGACTGATGAGACACTTACTTGCTTGTGAGCCCATAGCTAGCATGCCTTAGGCTTAGAAAAGGCTTTTGCCGTGTGTAGTACTAGAGCATCAAGCATACAACTGAATTAATTGGCAGTGCCCCCCTGGAAAACTGAAAATGAAGTTCCATTAAGTCTACTTTGGGGGAATCTCCTTAGTAGTTTTATATCAAGAGACTTGTGATAGTTGTTCTTGGCTGTCAAATTGACCACAACTGTGAGAAATTTTCTGCTTGGTCTGAAGTAGGTGAATCCACTTCTCTTTCGGACCTTTGAGGCAAGAAGACACAAGCTTTTGACCTGGGTCCTGAGAGGACATATGCCTTTAATCCAGATCTTGAGTCAAGAAGGTTTAATCTGGGCCACACCTTCTGCTGGAAGCCATTATAAGGACATGGAAGAAGGAAGCTTTTGCTCTTTGTATGCTTGTCTTCTCCTTGCTAGCAATCCATTCCTTCACTGGCATTGGAGCCTACTTCTTCGGGATTCTAGTAATACAAAAGATTGAATTCCATTGAATACTACCTATCCCTCTGTCATTGACCATTCTTTACTACAAAACTGTCAAAAGTCTTTCTTCTAGCTCTTTCAAACGTACACCACATTATCAATGCCTACACTTACCATGTAATAAGCTTTCCATTCTGCCTAGAAGTTGTTCAGCACCTACTGACCAAATGCTCCCATTTCTCCAAGAACCCTGGCCTCTGGCAGCTGCCATTCCAGTCTCAACTTTTATGAGAACAATGTCTGTTGAGATATCATGGATGAGATGGAATGACATGGGTCCTTCTGTGTCTCGCTTGCCAGGATTCCAGTCCTGTTTCCATAGTCCATTTTCAATGGAAAATTACAGGATTTTGCTCTTTTTGTGCTTGAGTAGTATTCCATTTTTCACATTGCTATGTTGTCTTTATCCACTCAAAACTCATGATGTTTAAATTAGATTGCTTCCATTTCTTGGCTATTGTGAGTATTGCTGAATGAACAAGGACTGCACATATCTCCTCAGGACATTGATTGTATTCTTTTTGGTTAGAAGTCTGGAGTACAACTGCTATATCATTAAAAAAAAGTTCTACTTTTTAATGTTTTGAGAAATATATGAAACATTTTTCCTTGTTGGCTTTACTAAGTTATATTCCCACCCAAACCTTCTTCTTCTGTGTCATATTTTGTTTTAATTTTTAAAATTAAAGTGTGTGTGTGTGTGTGTGTGTGTGTGTGTGTGTGTATGTGCTATTTATAGTGAACTATATTAGAGATTTTTAAGAGCGTACCAAAGTCCAGCTTAGACAGCCCCAAAAGAAAGAAACTAAGACCTGCTACAGGCCCTGAGGCCATATGGAGAAGAAAAAATATACATCAGACAAATTTTCTAAAAGAAAATTGTAGAGAGTGAACTGATAAGACACCCTTAACAGCCTGTGGCTAAGAACCTTCCAGATTGTATAGGGGAAAAAAGTTCTCATAATCAAAAGCCCAGTGACTCTCAAAACAGACTGCACATTCAAAATGCACAGCACCCTATAACTTAGTATTTTCTTCCCCAACTTAATTTTTAAATAAGCTTGGTTACTAAATTTATTTATTTATTTTTGTCCTTAAAACACAATATTCTAACATCAATGAAGTATCACATATGTTCATCACAAATGTATGTCCATCATAAATCAACTCAGACAGTTCTGTGCCCCCACTCATCACTTCCTGATGGTGAGAATACTCAGAAGCTGAGGGTGTGCAGATGGGAGCCTGGTTGGGGGACAGCTTTTACCATGAGGGTGGTATACCCCAAAAGAGCTTCTTCCTGCCAAGTGACTGACAGTTAAAGCCCAGCTATGGGCAAAAATCAGCCCTTGACCACTCAGTCATCCCCAAGGTCACACTGGGAACACAAAACTGTGCCTTTGAAGTAAGAGTGTGCTAAAAGTAAAGCAGCCCCCAGAAACTTGGCAGTGAGTTCCTTGGTAGGCCCAAAACTACCTTGTAGAGCTAGTCATGTTAGTGACCGGCAGAAGTTAATGAAAACCCTCTCAGTCTAAAAATGACTGCCATGGGCAATTAAGCATATTTAATTAATACAAATTAAACTCATGTGTAAAAATGAATAAATATCTGTTTTAAAAGCCTACAGGACCTGATATTCCCAGGTGGTCTCCCATCCAAGTACTAATCAGATCCAACACTGCTTAATTTCAGAGATCAGACTAGATCTAGTGCATTCAGGGTAGTACGACCATACACAATAATAAATAACATATTTTTAAATGATTAGAAGTAACTTTTTAACACAAGCCTAGATGAAAACTAGAGAAGCAAGAAAAATTAAAACAGAAGGGGAAAATTTCAAAAAACTGAAAACAGTGTGATAGTTTCAAATATCAATTTAACACAAACTTGATTGACAAGGCAAGAGCGTCTCAATGACGAACTGTTTGCATTAGGTTGACCAAGGGCATGTTTGTGAGGGATTATCTTGGTGACACCATTAATTGATGTGGGAAGACCCAAACTAATGTGGGCTGCAATATTCTCTGGTTTTGGGTCCTGAAATATATAAGAAGAAAGGAACATGAATAGTGAACATTCATGCATTCATTTCTCTCTGCTCTTGACTGTGAGATCTTGCTTTAAGTTGTCTGAAGAGAGCACAAGATGCTTCAAGATCTTGCCTTTAATTCCCTGCAGTGATGGAGTATAACCTGCATATTTGAGTTAAACCTTTTCTTCCCAAGTTGCTTTTTGTTGGGGTGTTGTATCATAGTAACTGGAGTAAAACTAGGACACACATGTGAATTAGGAGGAAAGTAAACATCATAAACAAGAGAGCAAACAGATGTAAAGATGTCTCAAACACTATAATGTTGGACACAGGGTAATCCAGCTCTGCTTGGTGAGGCCGAGAACAAAACACTTCGAATTTCTTTTTTTTTTTTTAAGAGAACTGAGGAAATATAAGACATCAAAGAAGTTTTATAAACAACTCAGTAGAAATTGTAGTATGGAACAGTATTTAGAAACCTAATAGATAGCCTAATAGATATATATCTCCAAATATATACATTACACACATATATTTCAAAACTGATGGAGACTATGATCCAAGACACCAACCTTAACAAGAACAAGGAGAAAGGAAAACTTTTTATTACACACAGCAATGGTGTAATAAAATTAGACACTTCAAAGGCCAAATTAAAACCTTAAAAATTTTAGCTGAGACAAAAGATAATTTTTCTTCAAAATACTGGTGTTAGGATTAACAGCAAGGTGATATTTTCTTTTTTTTCCTCCATTTTTTAAATTAAATTAGAAACAAGATTGTTTTGCATGTCAAACCCAGTTCCCTCTCCTTTCCCTCTTCCCCTGCCGCCACGCCCTCCCCCCCCCCACAACTCCCTACTTATCCCATACCAATTCTGGTCCCCAGGGAGGGTGAGGCCTTCCATGGGGGTCTTCCGATTCTGTCATATCCTTTGGGATAGGGCCTAGGCCCTCCTCCTGTGTCTAGGCTGAGGGAGTATCCCTCTATGTGAAATGGGATCCCATCGTCCATTCCTATGCTAGGGATAAGTACTGATCTACTACAAGAGGCCCATATATTTCCAAGGCCTCCTCACTGACACCCACATTTATGGGGTCTGGATCAGTTCTGTGATGGTTTCCCAGTGATCAGTCTGGGGGTCAAAAGCTCATTCTTGTTCAGGTCAGCTGTTTCTGTGGGTTTCACCATCTTGGTCTTGACCCCTTTGCTTATCACTCCTGCCTCTCTGCAACTGGATTCCAGTTCAGTTCAGTGTTTAGCTGTGGGTATCTGCTTCAGTAGAAGCAAGGTGATATTTTCAAACAAGAATTTTTATATAATAAAAATCATTCAAGGGCTAGAGAGATGGTTCAGTGGTCAAGACCACTTGCTGACATTGCAAAGGACCCAGTTTTGATTCCCAGCACCCACATTGGGCCCTCACAATGGTATGGAATTCCAGTTCTAAGAGATCTGATGCCTTTGTGTGTCCTCTTCAGACAACAGGCATGCATGTGCTGCATATGTACACAACACAGGTAAACACTCATATGCAGAAAATAAAAGAGTCTTTAAAGATATATATCCTCAAGATTGGAAGGAGGGAGTAGTAAGGGAGTTTATCACCTACCGTGAAGATGCTTTCAGGGTAAGCTGGTTCAATACTCCACCCAGAATCCATGAGAAGGTGTAAGAAGATAACCAACTCCACAAGATTGTTCTCTGACCTCCATGGTGCACACATCCATCCAAACACCTGAAAGGCACAACTAATAATATTCTTCAAAAGATTAGATGAAAAATTTTAACCCAGCCAAGTAAACATAAGAGAGTGGGGTTGGAAGCAAATGAAAAAGTAAAAACAGACAGTGAAAAAATTTTAAAGTAAAAATTGAACATAGAAGGCAGATGGAAAATGATTACAGATAAAAGACTGAAGACAGAGGGAAGAAGAAGAGCAAGTGGAGTGATATTTATGATTTAATAAAGATTGCCTGAAGTATTAGAAAGCAAAGCCAGGCACACTAGTTATCTATAAAAGACAGGCAGTGGTGGCACACGCTTTAATCTCAGGACTCAGGAAACAGAGATAGATAGATCTCTCTGTGAGTCCAAGGCCACCTACATCTACACAAGATTGAATCAGTCTAAAAGAGAATTAGAGCTCAAGACTTTAATCCCAGCCCTAGGGAGGTATATAAAAGACAGGAGCCCAGTGTCTCAGGCTGCATTCTGAGAAAATTCTCCAGCCATGCTGCGGAGAGACAGCAGTCTGAGGCTTGGTGGAGAGCTTGTGGAGACAGGATTAGCCTTTCCAGCCTGAGATAGAGGTATGGGCTAGTGGTTTGGCTGCTTTGCTTTTCTGATTTCAAGCTTGGAGCTTGAACCCCAATATCTGTCTCTGGGTTTTTTATTATTTGTTCTACATTTGGTGCCCAATGTGGGGAATGAACCCACAACTCTGAAATTAAAAGTCTCAAGGTAGTGGCTGTGTCAACAAACTAAACAAGTTGTGTAAGCTAGCATAGCAGGAAATCAAATGTTGGAGGACAGTAGGCAAGTCACCCACCTTCTACAGAAAAAGTAAGGCTGGACAAGATGGAATAATGGCTGTGAGGTTAAAAACAGTTACTGCTCTTGCAGAGGACAGAGTTTTCCTAGCACCTAGGGCTCATAACAGCTTGTAAATTCCAGATATAAAGCTCTCTTCTGACCTCCCTGGGCACATGCATGCACACATGTTCATAGATACACATACATACAATTAAAAAATAAAATGCCTATAAAAGAGAGTTCATTTATATGATGAATGGTAAAGGATGCATGCTGTGTTTTCTAAAGTAACAGTAAAGCAAAGAAAAGAAAAATATTTACTATCCATATTAATAGATGGACAAACAGAAAACCTGGAACTTAGTCGCCTAAAAGAAGAAAAGATAAAAGCATGTGTAAACAGGGTTGACAATAGAAATCCATAGGAAAATAGAGGATGCGAAACTGGACTTCTCACTAGCTATGTTAAGCATAGATGGATACAGAAAGTCTAGGCCTGATTTATGTACATTTATGAATGAGGTATGTACAAAATATGTGTCAAAGTACAGGGATTCCTAGCAGCCAAAATAAAACAACATCCAAAGACAGGCCCTGGATTTACCAAACAAAGGAAATATTAACAAGTTTAGAAAAATCAAAGTAGAGCTTAAGTTAAAAGAAAGTAATGTTCAAGAAGTCTATTTATAATGTCTCACCAAGAAGGAACAAGTACTCTGTTTTATGGGTAGAAATTCCAATGTTTTGTATAAAACAATTCATCTTTAAAATACATGAAGCAAAATCTAAGAGAACTGTGGTAAAATACAGCTCTTTACAATGAAATATTTACCAAAGAATTGTGACAATTTTTCAAAATAAACTAAATTATTGCCAACATAATTACAATAAATGAATTAATCTAATATATACCATGCTGTTTACCCACTAGTCAATGAAATACTTTCTTACCTAGTAGGAACTGGCTGTTAGCAAAGCTAATCCTTCATCGGGTGACACAGCCCGGCTCAAAGAATGTCAAGGGGCTGATAAACACAGAAAAGTTTTCTGATCACAACTCATTTCAGCAGGAAATTAAAATGTTCAGTCAAGAAAGAATGAAGAAAATCCCCATAAGGCTAAGAGTTAAAGCTTAACATGTATAGATTACACACAGTTAAGTAATCAAAATGGAAATGAGAAAGTAATTTGACTGAATTATAACAAAATGCTTTGTTTCCAAAGATACAGGGAGTCCTAAATCAGGTCTCCTTAACCTTTTCTGGTGCATATTCAGGCTGGATGGTTCTTTGCTGTGGCAGATCATCCTGAGCACTATGGGATGTTCCACATTTCTGATTTTTACCCACGATGGGAAGGTAACATTTTTTTTCCCATTTGCCTCACTAAAACAGTCTATGGATATTTCTTAAAGTCTCCCAAGGTTAAACATGCATCTGTCTAATGAAGGTTAAGAAGAATAAATGCTATGTTAAGACTTGAGAATGAGAGCAACATGAAAAATAAATGTTAGCACAGAAAGTAACACTACAGAAAAACAAGTAATAAAGGCAAGTTTTAAAATAAAATACCTCTCTGTAAAGATTCATAAAATGTATATGGCTGGACAAGCTTGAGAATGAAGGGAAATAGAAACAGAAATAAACAAGATTTAATTATAAAATAGTTTCAGCCTAAATGTTTATCAACAGATAAATGGATGATAAACATGTGGCACATATGCACAATGGAATAATATTTAACCATTAAGAAAAATGAAATTTATAGGAAAATGGATGGAAAGGAAAAAATAATATTAAGTTAGATGGTCCAAACTCAAAAAGACAAAGCCACAAGTTCTTTTTCATACGTGCATCTTAGCCTGTAAAGTACGTGTGTGTTGTGTATGAGATTGTATAGTATGTACACACACACACACACACACACACAAACAGGTGTAAGTGTATATGTAAAACACTAAAAATTGAGGAAGGAGACCATAACACGTTACTATTAGGTGATGAGGAGGGATGAAAACTAGATAAAAGGATGCATAAGACATAGAAGAAGAGAGTCAAGGGGTCTGAAAAGGTGGGACTGGGTAGCAGAGGAAGCTGGGGAGGTTGGGAAAGGATGACCACAAGTGTTTGTTTTGTTGAAACCCTTATATTGGTGTATAACATGTTACATGCTTATTTAAAAAATAAAACATTTAAAAATAATTGCAGAGCCTTCAGTTATTAAAAAGAGAATATGAATAAAACATGTGTTAATGACACGGTAGATGAAATAGAAATATTTTTGAAAATTCCACCTTAGCAGAACTTAGAAGATGAATGAAAATTTGAGTCATCCCACAGCCATTAAGTTAATCTATAACCAACACCCATGCATATTCACACAAGCTCAACAAACTAAACACCACTCCAAGGCCTTGGTGACTAAAGCATGCACCCTAGATAACAGAAGGAGGCAACAGACTTCATCGGTTCATTCTCTTCAGCAGCTAATACTGAAAGTATCTTCACCACTGAATATGAAGGTGAACAAATGAAGCTACTCTAACCCATCCTTGTAACTGCAAAATCTGTCTCTCTAGCTACAAAATCAAGTGCTATGATAGAAAGATGAAATAACAGGAGTAGTCCAAGTTCATTCTAGGGATACAAGATTTACTTCTGAAAAACAATCATGTAATTAATGAATAGGGGAAAAGAGTATGATTACTTCAATATATACATTGTCCTGACTTTCCCATGGCCCTTTTTATGTCTTAATTTCAGGAATACATTAGCACCCATCTTATAGCTTTATTCATGTATCCATTGAACAAATACCAGCCAACCTAATTTGAAATCAAATTGAAAAAGAATCAAGATTCCTGTCTGCATCCTAGTAGAGTTCTAGGTACACACTTGAAAATCTGGCACCTCTAACTCCAGCAGGATTGCCAAAGTCATGGAGAACTCCCTTCAATGTGCTCTGCAAATGTTAGCCTCCTCTTCTAATAACTAGACAAATGGTGACACTTGCTACAGAATCTGCTGTTTTTCAGTTTGCATATAATGCGGAAAATTACCAATACGGAGCCAGGTAAAAATACAAGGGTTTTAATAGGGAACAGCCTTACTTACAGAGAGACCTAGCCAGCCGCCGGGGGCAGCAGTCTGTACCACAAGCTGAAAGTGAAACCGAAAGCAGAGCGCCCTGTAAGTATCCCTCCCTCTACATCACCCTGACCATGCCCTCATAGGCATGGTCAGGCACACCTGTAGCCAGCCCCTAAGCAGGTGTGGCTACAGCATCCCCTACAATTCCCCTTTTAGTCTAAAAGAGGATAAAAGCTTAATAGTGTAAAAGTATCCAAAATTAACAATCATAAAGGTGAAATATAAGAAAATACAACAATCTGCTTATGTCATATCCTAACTATCTATTTTAACTAAAACCTAAAGCCATCTGAAAGAGGTGTCCAAGCCTCAACTCCTCCTTCCAATCCCAACCATAAACAACAGGAAGCTATCCCTAACTAGGTATACACACTATCCTAATTGACAACAATGGGGGAGAGGGGAAGTGGCATCCTCCAAGTTACTTCCTGCTGAAATGGGATGATGACAGCCTTGTGGGGTCCTGTAGGAAGAAAATGTTAGTGTAGTGAAAGTTTTGAATGGATTGTATCCAGTCCATGTTAGATGGGATTCACTTAATTGAAGATCTCACTTAAAATCCTCAACTTGATTGAAGTAATTCCCCAAGCCTCTGGCCAGAGTGTTAGTTGAAATGGAACAAGTTGGATCCAGTGTAGTCAAGGAGGTGTGGCCCATTTTCTTTCTGGGGTGTCCAGGGATTGCTGTCAGGCAGGTCTTCATTGGCAGTGTGGGACTCAAACATAAATGTTAGCAGAGAAATGTTTGTTTGTGTAAGTATGCATACTAGAAAAGGCAACCATGGGAGTATAACAATTATGAGAGGGTGTACATGTTGAAGGAAAGAGCCAAGAAAAGACAAAGACAGTCCTCAAATTTTTCTCGTATTCTGTATTCCATCAGTTGGCTTCTTGATAATGTGGGAAATTACCATTATGGAGCCAGGTAAAAATACAAGGGTTTTAATAGGGAACAGCCTTACTTACAGAGCAACCTAGCCAGCCTGCAGGCAGTAGTTTGTACCGCAAGCCGAAACTGACACCGAAAATAGAACGCCCTGTAAGCGTCCCTCCCTCTACATCACCCTGACCAAGCCCCTGCAGGCGTGGTCAGGCACACCTGTAGCCAGCCCCTAAGCAGGCATGGCTACAGCATCCCCTACATGCATATATGTAGAGTGAGTGTATAATGGCTTACCAGTGGATTCCTTAATTTGTAAGTCAAATGGAATGTGGTTAACTGGTGAAGACCTCCAGCCATGCAAGTATTTGAGAGTGTTTTATAAGGAAACTGATGGTGCACTTGTACCATGAGACATGTCCACAATTCAGGCATTCCAATAGAGGAGACAGACCATCTAGACTTTGTATTGGTTAATTTTCTTACTGTTGTGATCTGACCAAAAGCAACTTACTGGAGGAAGGGTTTATTTTGGCTTACAGTTAAGGAGATGCAACTCATCACAGCAGGGGAATTATGGCTGTAGGAATGATGTCACATTGTATCTAGCATGAGGTGGCTTAAATAGGAATGGCCCCCATAGACTCATGTGTGTGAATGCTTGGCCCATAGGAAATGGCACTATTAGGAGGTGTGGCCTTGTTGGAGGAAGTTTGTCGTTGTGGAGGCTTTGAGGTCTCTGATATGCTCAAGCTATACCCAGTGTGGCACAGTGTCCTTCTGCTGCCTGTAGATCAAGATGCAGAACTCTCAGCTCCTTCTCCAGCACCATGTCTGTCTGCCTGCTGCGTGCTTCCCTCCTTGATGACAATGAATTGAACTTCTTAAACTGTAAGTCAGCCCACATTAATTTTTTCTTTATAAGAGTTGGTCATGGTGTGTCTTTATAGCAATAGAAACTCTAACTAAGAGAGGGGTATTTCACAGACAAAGCACATCAGGCTAAGCAGATCCTAGTAGGGCATACTAGAATATCTTAGAAGAGGAGCATTCATGCTTGCAACTTTGAAAGACATAAAAAATGAAATATGAATTGTATCCTAGTTCACATTAACTGATTGTAATGGTTTCAATAAAACTGATACCCATAGGCTCTTATGTTTCAATACTTGGTAGCCTATTGGTGGAGCTGTGTGGGAAGGGTTAAGGGGTGTAGTGTTTTTAGAAGTATGTCACTGGGAGATGTTTCAAAAATCTCACACTTCCCAGTGCGCCTTCCTCTGTGCCTCCTATTTTCAGGCCAAGTTGTGAGATCTCAGCTGCAGCCCTACCACTGTGCCTTTGTTCCCCTGCCATGGACTCCACCCCTCTGAAACCATAAGCCAAAGTAAATATATTCTTTCATAAATTGCCTTGGTCATGGTGATTTGTTACAGCAAAAGAAAAGTAACTAAGACACTGACACAACCTAGAGCCACCTTTAAAAATCTTGATTGTGCAATTATTGTCATCAAGGTGACCTGTAGTTGTGTTTATAATGGATTGTCTTGATTCTCTTCATTCATCTAGGAGAGTCCATCCTACTGTCAGCAGAGCCATTTCTTCTGCAGGTGATCTTGGACAATATAAGAAAACTAAATAAATGTGAGCCAGAGAGTAAGCCTGGAAACAACATTCCTCCATGATTTTTTTTTTTTTTTTTTTTTCGAGACAGGGTTTTTCTGTGTAGCTTTAGAGCCTATCCTGGCACTCACTATGGAGACCAGGGTGGCCTCGAACTCACAGAGATCTGCTTGTCTCTGCCTCCCAAGTGCTGGGATTAAAGGTGTGTGCCAACGCCCGGCTCCTCCATGATTCTTATGTTCAGTTGTTACCTTGAGATACTACCCTGGCTCCCCTCAGTGATTAACTGTGACTTGGAAAAATAAGATAAAACAAACCCTTTCCTTCCCAAGTTTCTTTTGGATGAAATGTTTATTCACAGCCACAGAGTAAAACTGGAACAGATGGGTAGTACATGGTATGAATGTCTCCATGGCTCCCATATATGAATACTGTCCCCAGCTGGTAGCCATGTTTGGGGAGGTTTAGGCGGTATGGCCTTGCTGGAGGAAGTATGTCATTGGGGCTAGCTGTCAGAAAATTCCCCCATCATTTCCAGCTTGCTGTCTCTGCTTTGTATTTGCAATTCAATATGTGAGCTTTTAGCCTCCTGCTCCTGCCACCATGACTACCTCCAGACACCATGCTTCCCGGCCATCATGGACTCTGATCAAATGGGAAGAGCAAGCCCAAAGAAACTCTTTCTTCTATAAGTTGCCTTGGTCAAGGTCTTTCATCACAGCAACAGAAAAGTAACTAATACAGGTAGATAGGGGCAAGGCTATACTATATGATAAATAGAGGACAACATTAATTGTGGAATCTAGGTGAGAGTCTTGTGTTCTTTATACAAGCCTTTAACTGTATTGTATGTTTGAAATTTTAATATGTTAGGAAAATGTGCAACATAAAATTGTTAACAAATCAAGGCAAGTTCATCTTTGAAAGGCATGGATAACTACAGTTTTCTCAAATTAATATTTGTTTTTATTAATTTTTATTTATAAAAATAATCACAGGCATACTTTTCCTTGATCATCACTACATGTCCTAGATCACTGTCAAAACCAAGGCTTATAAAATATTCCTTTTCACCAGATCATATGAGTCTGCAACAATGAACCACTCTTTCCCTGTATGAGGAAATTGCAAGTTCTATGGAGGCAGCAACCTCTGTTTTGAGTGTATAGTCTATAAATAGACTATAGAGTTTTATTTGACATACAATAGGTTTTCAAGAAATATATGTTAAATGAAAATAAGCCTGTAATTAAGCATCCATGTAGTGTAACAAACAGAGCTGAAGCCAGTGGCAGAAGCTGGTTATTCCAATGACTCAGGAGGCTATAGCAGGGTAATTGTAGTACAAGGTCAGTCTGGGGTGCAGAGTCAGCCTGAAAAAATTATTTTAAAATTATTACAAACAGGGCTGGGGGTGTGGCTTAAAGTCTTCCCTTCTAAATGTATGCCTCAGTCCATCTCTCACACATGCATCCATTTAGACAGCTGGCAAGCATTCCACTGGCATCCTATATGCAAAGCATAATGACAAAGCCCTTGGGTTGCAACAGCACTTTTTGTGCTCAGCTCTAGGGACAGTTCTTTGCTGAGAAGACAGTCCTGTTTATTTCAGGGGTCAGGGTCATCCTTGCCTTCTACCCACTACATGCTGACAGCTCTTGTGTTGCAATGATCAAACACATTCAGACATTGGCAATGACACTCATGAGAGAGAAAAAAAGTCCCCACTCCTCCATGAGAACTGTTGGTCACAATGAGACTGTAACCTCTCCCCCTTGGTGGTCCTATATATTAGGAACGTTTCTTTTTTAGTGTGAGCCTCATTGTGTACACCTGGCTGGCCTGGAACCTACATATAGACTGGTCTAGTCTTAAACTCACAGAGATCTGACTGCTTCTGCCTCATTATCAGATTTAATTCACCATACCCAGCTATCAGGTCCCTGACAAACAAAGGTACTATATAGGGAAAGAACTGAAAATTTAACACCTTCCTTGTTCCCATCTCTTTGGTATCCAGAAATTTCTTCCTTGGGAATCACAAAGAGAAAGTGCATCTCTACTTCTGCAGTATTTCCAGACAGCAATTCTATCTTACTTTCCTTCCTGAGGAGACAGTGCACATAGGCCTGGAAAAGAAGAGAGAAAGTGACCAAAGTCCCCCTTGAGGTCATGAAAGATAAGCTATTATCTATCTCCTCTTAGGGAGGAAACATCCCAGCCCCTCCCTGTATACCTTATTGGAAGTAGCACCATATCAAAACTTCACATTATGAGAAGCCCCCAATGTCACCTAACAACTCCCAAGGTACAGCTCTTTGAACTTACTATGGAGAATAAAAGTTAGCATATCATAGATACTTAGTAAATATTTATTGAGTAGATGAATGATGAATCGTGTTTTAAAAGGTAAGGGCAATCCAGTGCCAGGCTGTTTGTATTTGGAGAACAACTGTTGGCCTTGCTCTGCAGATATAGACTTTTGATCTATCAAATGCATT